GGGACAAAAGCTTCAGTTTTGGGTCTCTTCTTTCAGTTCTTACACCTTTTCCTCTTGGGTTCTGACAATAGCATTTTTCCTGAAAAGTGTCAAAATGCTTCTGTGGAGGGGCTTTGTACTAATAATTGGACTAGCAGTGTTCATTGCTCTAATCATGAGACCTCCCTCTTTGCTACCAGTTCTATAAAAACAGTGGTCAAAGGAAAAAGGACAAGGGAAGAAAATACAAAATGAAGATAAATGTGAAAATGAATAGGGAGAAAGGCATAAAAGGGACTTTTCAATGACACAGTGCGACTGGCACCTGCCAAATAATCAGAAGCATGATCAAACTGTTAACATTTTCATTCCTTGAACAAATATTCATTGAACACAAACTATATGTTAGGTACTGTGGAAGGCACTGACCTTGTGTTGGTTAAAAAACAGGACCCCCCCCCTTATTTATAAAAAAAAAACAAACCATTTCTCAGGGTATTCAGGATGCAGTGGGAGAAATGAGCACTTACATCACTATGCTGGAAAGTGAGAAATGCTGAGAGATGGAAAGGCAGGTCAGGATTGCCTTCCAAAAGAGCATTATTTAACGAATGACTAACAGCTCTGCAGGCAAAGAAGGAGGCATTTCAGGGAATGCAGAGGAGCAAGAATGAGAAAGGTGAAGAAGACGGAAGTAAGAGTAAGAAAATGTCATGGTTTCATAATTAGGAACTCCATAGGGACTAAACTATAAACTAAATGAAGTAAATTTTGACTGTTTTGAGTTTCAAAACCAAAATGAACCACTGAACATTTTTGAACAAAATACTATAGTAAATTTACTTCTAAAAATTAAGCAGACAGTAGTGTGAAGGGTGTGTGGAATTGGGAGGCTGAGTTCAGTTTGGCAAAATAGTTAGGAGAGTACTGAGATTATCTAAAATGAGACATAGCAAGATTCTAGTTGCCCAGAATTCATCTCCCTTTATTTTGGTAATAGAGCCCTAATTTTCCATAGAAGACTCATCCCTCCACCACTTAATCTGGTCCATGAATTTCCGAGATCCCTAACCCAGGATCCAGGATGAGGCGTATTAACTCAGACCTGACTGAGCAGATATTCCACACCCTGATTACAAGACCAGGAACATAAAAAGAAATTAGTTCCCAAAGAGCCCCAGAATTTTCACTTTTGCTGTACCTCACCACATACAGGACTGCTAACCTTGAAGTTGCTAAGAATTGTCCTGGAGAAAAATCTACCTGAAAATGAAGTCAACACATTCAGGAAACAGCCTAAAGATTAGGACAAATTTTTTTAAATGCCTACATTTGGCCATACCTGAAGCTACTACTCCCTAAATTTTTAGTAAGATAAGTCAATATATTTTGAAGTGGAGTTATAAATAAAGCATTAAGAGAAAAATCAGAAGCCGAATTAAAATACCTATTTACACATGGGAAATGAAAGAGAAGAACTTGTCAAATTTCACTCTGAAGGTCTGGTTAGGTTGACTGAGTAAAATGTTAATAACCAAGAGAACAGAGGAAAAAAAAAATTTGATCAATGAAATGATCTTAGTTTGAAGAGAGTAAAAAATATCTTAATACTTGAATACTGGCTCTGGAGCATTTTAGCAGGAAAACTATGCATGAGCTGGATTCCAACCTCAGAAGTACTAAATAGCTTGCGAGTCCAAGGCTGTCTAGGGTAACTGACTGTCTGATCAGTGCTAGAAGAAACCATTCCTTTAACTGTACAGTAGTTTCACCAGACAATCTCTGGCCTGAATGATGGGTTAAGGATGCTTTGGGGTATTTTGTACATTTCTTTGTCCTTGCATATTAGCATAGTGAGAGTTACTGAAAGTATAGTCATTCAAAGAGCTTTTTGTTTTCCACCTGCTTATGTCTGCGCTTGTCCTCTTCTTTACTTTTCCTAGTAAATAGTAAATCTGCCCTTTTAAAAATGTTTATTAAAAGTACAGACTCTTTCCGGGCCCTCCCTGGTGGCGCAGCGGGTTAAAGCACAGCACTGAGAATCTAAAGCCGCTTCCTCATGAGTTCAATTCCCGCTTGCCCGGAGGTGACCACATGGCGTGGCAGACCTCTCCTGACCCGCCCGCTGCTCCCCTCAGCAGTGTACTTCATCGATCTGCCTGTTCTGATCCCCACTCTGTCTCTGGTGAAGCCTCTCACTGCCCCTGAGTCTCTGGCCTGTATCCTAGTTCTGTATGCAAAAATAAATAAATCTTTAAAAGTACAGACTCTTGGCCCTCCCTGGTGGCGCAGCGGGTTAAAGCACAGCACTAAGAAGCTAAAGCCGCTTCCGCATGAGTTCGATTCCCGCCTGCCCTGGAGGTGACCACATGGCGTGGCAGACCTCTCCTGACCCGCCCGCTGCTCCCCTCAGCAGTGTACTTCGTAGATCTGCCTGTTCTGCTCCCCACTCTGTCTCTGGTGAGGCCTCTCACCGCCCCTGAGCCTCTGGCCTGTACCCCAGTTCTGTATGTACAAATTAAATCTTTAAAAAAAAAAAAAAGTACAGACTCTTTCCTTTTCATCAAAATCACAGCCTTCCATTAAGTCGCCAAAATAACCAATACAAAAGAAAAAGGAGAGACACCCATTATATGTTTTCTAGGGTCTTTTTAGAAAACATGGAGTTGTTCCTATGGTCACATACATGCAAATCTACCAAAAAGGTGATATTGTAGACATCAAGCGGATGTCAAGCATTATTCAAAAAGGAATGACCCACCAATATGGAAGTCTATAATATCACCAGCATGCAGCAGGTCTTGTTGTAAACAAATAGGATAAGATTCTTACCAAGAAAATTAATGTTCGCACTGAGTATATTAAGCATATACTAAGAGTGTCCTGAAATTTACAAAAGAAAATGATCAGAAAAAAAAAAAGGAAGCCAAAAAGAAAGGTACCTAGGTTCAATAGAAGTGTCAACCTGCTCTACCTAGAGAAGCACAATGGTGAGGCCTAATGGAAAGGAACCTTAGCTGCTGGAATCTATTACCCATGAATTAATTCATAGGTGTGTGATAGCTGTGGTAGAAATTAAAATAAAACTTCTGGAGTATAAAAATAAATAAATAAATAGGGCAAGGGGTTAAAGCATTGCACTATGAAGCTCTACTAACCAACCCAGCATGAGTTCCACCACAAGCCAGGGAGCTGATACACATGGAGTGGCAGACCTCTCCTGTGTCACCTGCTGCTCCCCTCAGCAGTGCATTTCAATGGATCTGCCTTTTCTGCTCCCCACTCTGTCTCTGGTGAATCTTCTCACCGCCCCTGTATCTCTGGCCTGTACTCCAGTTCTATAAGCATAAATAAATAAATCTTTAAAAAATAAATAAATAGATAGACAGATAGATAAAATAAATAAGTAAGTAAGTAAAGTGCAGCCTCTGGAGCCAGACTGTCTACATCTAAATCCTAGTTCCACCATGATTCAGTGTGTCGCCTTAGCAAGTTATTTATTCTGTTCCTCCATATCTCAGTTTCCTCATCTGTTAAATGGTGCTATGAAAATTACCTACCTCATACAGTTGTTATTAGGTTAAATAAATTAATATCTGGAAGACTTTTAAGCAGTATCTTGCATGTGGTCTTTGTTAAATACATTAAATAAATAATGAGCTCAGATAGATGGGGAGGAAATTTGAGCTTGAATTTCCAACTCAGCCTCTCCCACATAAATTAGTTGAGGAAAATAAAGATAATTGTAAAATTTGTTTAATAATTTATATGGGACTTTTACAGAAAGCATTTCATAGACATCTGGAGGAAAAAATAAATAGCCAAATATACATAGCAGAAACTGAAACATGGAAAAAGGAAGTATGAAGTTCAGTTTCACTGAACACATCATTAATAGATCTCACACAGGACTCTCAAGTCTGGTCAGTCCAGGTTCTATACAGAAGATCACAGGCTAACTGTGCATATAAAAAAAGGAGCTATCACCTTTAAAACAGCCTGGTTTTCACTCACGCACATCTGATTAATTTTCTTCTGCTGGTATTTTCTCAGATTATTCTAAATTGAATCTCTATACCCCAGTTGCTTCTGGGGCCATCAGCTATCTGAATGTTTTTAAAGTCAAGTAAGACTCCCCTAGGCCACATTCCTTCTCCATTCTGTCACTACTCCAGATTCTTAAGAGATTAAAACCAGAGTTATTCAAGAAGCAAAACCCCAAATACAGGAAGCACCTCCACAGTCTAAGCCACCATTTATCAAAGCTTTTAAAATCAAAAATCCTCTAATTTCTAAAACGTATGAACTTGGTAACAGCAATTCTACCTCCATAAAACTGTGAAGCTGCTTAGAATACATCGTGGAAAAGAAGTGAAGGATCTGAAGATGAAAAGGAAATGACAGCTTGGTCTTGACACTGACAGGGACCCAGCATTGGACAAAAGGCACGCACACAATTTCCAGTCTCATTAGCAGGACCCCACCCCCACACCACTGCCAAGACAATCGGCCGCTTTCAACCACTGTCCCTCATTCTTTCCGTTTTCTTCACATTCATTCGCAGTCTAAGCTTCTTTAAGGGTCACTCATCATGCCTAACCTTTGCTCCCAGAAATTCTTACAACAACCTTCTTAATATTGGCCCAACTTGCTGTCACCTTCAGGTTTCAAGGCAGCAACCTCGTGCCCTACTCGTATCTTATAGACTCTGGCCTATATAATCTCACTACATAATTTCCCCAAAGCCACCTCCTCTAAGCAGCCTCGGATCCTACCCACTTCTATTCCCCCGCCCTCAAATACCTACCCACCAGCTCCACCTGACCCCCACTGAGCCAGTTCCCTCGATCGATCCACGCCCTGCCCCTTCCCCCCTAGAAATTCTTCCCAACAAATCGCCCACAACAGTCGCCCGCAGGTCGCAGCTGGCACTTCTCCCCGTGCTCTCCGAGCCCCCACAAGACTTTAGTTCCTGGGGCGCACCCTTCTATCTCCGACTCTTCGAACCCCTGCCAGCCCACCTGCTCTCTTCTGGTAGGGGCTCCGGGCAGCCACCGAGCTCCATTCCCGCGCCCTCCGGCCGCATCCGGGACTACACGTCGCCTCTTCTCTAAAGAGAAGGGTTCCTGCCGCTTCGCCCCTCAGGTCTCCCGGCGCTTTCCGGGGACGGAGGCGATACCCACGATGGGTGGGATCACGGTGATGCACTATGCCCGGGTGACAGCAGCAGCAGTGACTGCTGCCTCTGCTGCGGCTTCCACCCAGCCACCCCCACTTCCGGCTCCAAGGACTACAACTCCCAGCAAGCACTGGGAAGTCCCGATCGCTCCCGCCATGCACCGCCCTAACCAATCTGAGAACGCGCTCGCGGCGGAACGCGGACGCCGGCGGCGTGCACTCGGGCCTGACACAGCAACCAACGCTAGTCTCTGCTAGGTTTGTGGGCGTTTGCGCTTGTCTGTCATCTTCACCTTTTGAGTCAGACTTGGTCAGAGGTCCAGATTAGGAGGAGATAACGCTGATCTTTAATACCCGTACGGTTAACCCCCCTTCACCTAACCTGTTTTACCGTTGTGGATAAGGGGTGTTTCAAGCAAGCATATTAATGAAGAACTTGCAAATTCTGAAAAGCACAGTTGCTTTGGGATCAAACAGGAAGAAGAGGAAGAAAAAAGTTTTCTAGAGGTTTGGTGTCAGAGTTGTAAAGAATGAGTTGGCCAAGAAGAGAAAGTGAAGCCAGAACACAGCGGAAGCATGCTGACTTTGGGAACTGCTGGTTTTGAATAGTGACCAGTTTGGAAGAAGTGGGGTAGAATAGTATGGGTTCCCTACAGACCAAACTATGATGTGCAATTATAGGGCTTTGGGTTTTATCCTGAAAACATGATTTTATCGTGAAACATGCATACAAATCAAAGATAAGCAAATCATTCAATGATATGATCAAACTTATTTAGAAAGCTTTTGACAATGTGAATGGAGAGGGGATAGTTGGTGGTAAGGGTAGAAGAATAAATATGAAAAGAGATTGGAAGTCTCTTCATTGGCCAAACAGGTATGGCCAATGACTGAAGTGACCCAGTTGTAAGATAATACCAAAAATTCTCTGAACTGGAGGAAAAGACAGGACAGACATCTTTGTTTCTGTCTATACACATGAATGGTGAGTGGGTAGGAAAGGCAAAGACATGAAAAAGAAAGCAAGTTGGGCCCTCCCTGGTGGCAGCTAGTTAAAGCACGGCACTAAGAAGCTAAAGCCACTTCAGCATGAGTTCAATCCCAGCCCCGGAGGTGACCCACATGGCTTGGCAGACCTCTCCTGACCCACCCTCTGCTCCCCTCAGCAGTGTACTTCATCAATCGGCCTGTTCTGCTCCCCACTCTGTCTCCCCAAGCACCTCTGGCTTGTACCCCAGTTCTATATACATAAATAAATAATATCTTTAAAAAAAAATTCTCTGAACTGGGGATCCCATGCTTCTTTATCCATGAGGGAAGTTTTACCTTAGCTATACTTGAATGTTGCCAAATGAGTATATAGAGCTTCAGGTATTATTTTTCCAAATTCTTTAAAAAGAAAAGTTTAAAAAATAAATAAGGATCTTAGTGTGGTTTTTGTTTTCTTCTTATTGCATTTTGATCAATATAACCACAATCTTACTGTTTTACATGGAAATTTCTTAACTTATAATGATAACTTTTAAGTATATTTTAAGTTACTTTGTTTTGTTTTGTTTTGTTTTGTTTTTTGTTTGTTTTTTCTATAGGCCAGCATTATTAGAAGTCTTTGGCCAATTTTGCTAAGTGAACAATTCACTAATTTTACCAAATTTATTGATTTACTAAATTTTTTTCCTCTGAAATTTTTTATCCTGAAAAATTTCAGTGTGTGTCAAATGGAATCATTTTAAAAGCTCTTCAAGAATTTTGCTGAAATTTAATTGATTAGTTTCTAGTTTGTCTTTACAGCATTCCAGTTTCTTTAAGCATTTCATATTGGTTCATTTATTCAGTTATACAGGGGGAAAGCACATTGCCAGCCATGGGCAATCATACAAATTAAGACTTTAGAAAATTAGGTGCTTGTTCCAACAAGGCTGCAGAAAAAAGAAAATTAGGGGCCTCCCTGGTGGTGCAAGGGATTAAATCGAAGCACTATGAAGCAATCTGCAGCCACTGCAGCATACGTTTGATTCTCAGTAGGGGAGGTGATCTACATGGAACAGCAGACCTCTCCTGTCTCAGCAGACCTCTCCTTTCTTGCCTACTTCTCCCTTCAGTAGTGTACTTCAATCAGTCTGTCTGTTCTGTGTCCCACTCTCTTGAATCCTCTCACTCCCCTGCACCTCTGGCCTGTACCCCAGTTCTGGTATATATAAATAAATAAATCTTTAACATTTTTTAGAAAATTACAATGAAATTTTTTAAAGTCTTATTTCTAGACTGAACAAATCCTTAACACATTTGAGGAATATTCACCTTCTGTCCTGGCACTGTGCAACTCTAGCTGGATAAAACTAGACCAAGAGATAGGATTCTCTACTAAAGGAAAAGTACAAATGAGAATTAGTTCAAGTTCAGTCTGGGCCCTTTGTTTCAGAGCAAGGAAGCCAGGAAGCAAAGAGAAAAGTATGAGAAGGAAGAATGTCTAAAGGCCCCATGACCCCAGAATTCTGACTCTTCAGAAACTTCATAGATTACTGACTTATCTAGTACAAGTTGAGGATATATTTTCAAAAAGAAAGTCTTTATGTAAATAGGAGAGAGTGTGTGACTTATGGAAACTTGTGTAGCTTTAGAAAAGTCCCCAATTAGTCATTCAGTGAGTTGACCCAGACCCTTGCTTGCCAAGATGCCTACCCTGCCAGAGAAGACTAAGCCTAATAAGAGAGAAATAAAAATATAATTCCCCTTCAAGTTCCCCTGTCCACTCAGAACAAGTTCCTTGGTCAGTGAAAATGAGTGTGCAGGGACTTGGAGACATTAACACTTCAGCTATGCCTGCAACACTGCCTGTCATGTTCTCTGCTGTATTACAGTACTATAGCAGTTTGAAGCACATAGTAGGAACTCAAACTGAATAAATGAATAAGTAGATCCTGAGATTAAAATACAGGAGACTGGAACAGCAAAAGTTTAGAATGAAGGAAAGGGGCAATCCAAAAAAAGGAACAGGAAGCTATTGCAAAGCAGCAAAGAAAAAACTACCGTAGCAGGCAACAGTGGCAAAGTGGATAGAATGAAAAGAATTGAGCAGAAAAGAAAAATCACTGAGCATATAAGTATCTTGTATAATACCAATATTATAAAAATGAAATCAAAATATGAATTCTAAAAATCCTCTTTTGAAGCAAGAGTTGATAGCAAAATCAGACAAAGATATTACAAGAGAAAAAAATTATATACCAATGTCACTCATGAAAAGAGAAAGTTATAACAAAATATGAGCAGTAGTAGATGCCCGCTAAAGGGCATCTAAAAAAAGCTAATATACTTAATATGGGAGTGAGGCAAAGATGATGTGTACTTTCATCACTCCAATTAAACACAGTACTGGAGACACCAGTCAGTGCAATAAGGCAAGGCACTGAACAAGCAGAGGCACACAGATTGGAAACAATGATGCTGAGTGAAATAATCCAAATTAAAAAATATATGGTAGGATTGCATTTTTATCAAATTCTAGAAAATTCACATTAGTGACAGAAAACATAAGGCAGTGGTTGGGAGAAAGAATTGACAGAGAACGAGAAAAACTTTGAAGTTGATGAATGTATTTATTATCATGATTATAGTAGTGTTTTTCCAGGTGTATACATTGTACACCTGTATAAACTGCAAGGATTAAAAACACCTTTTATTGTCCAATTATGCTTTAATAAAGCTGAAAAAAGGAAAACAAAAGATAGATCAAATTAATAAAAGTTAAATGGTAAATGTTTAAGAGTTGTGCTTACCTTTGAAAAGAAAGTGGTACTCCAGGCACATTGTGGAGAGCTAGAAAGTGTTAATAGAAAAGTATGAATGCTGTTAGTGTTGCCAAATTTAGCAAATAAAAGTATGACAAGTTAAAGTTGAATTTCAGATACAATTAACTGTATAGTAAAAATATATTATAAATACTGTATGCAAAACACTAGTCAAAAAAATGTTTAACTGAAACTTGGAGCAAACATACTTAAAAATTTCTCATTGTTCATTTGAAATTCAGATCTAATTGGTCTTGTAATTTATCTGGTAATCCCAGATATTGTCTTATCTACATTGGATGAACAAGTCTCTAAAGAGGGCAACTACTTGAATTCTGTGTTTATTTTTACTTAAAGCAAACTGCTGAACTGCTTGCCAGTGTCTAGTGCCAGTGCCTTATTTAGAGTAGATGGTCAGAAAATATTTTTTTGCTCTGCAAGCTGTGTGAAAATAGGGACCACATCCATCTTGCTCACCATTTTATCCCCAGGGTTTGTTATAAGCCTGGTGCTCAATAAGTATATGATTAAATTAATAGCTGCCCCACATGCCCCAGAAAATTGCAGGAATGACCTTTTTACTCCAGCCCTCAGAGCTGGATGATTGACTTCTTGGACAAACCCCAGGTTTGGTTTTTTGGCTTGTTGGAATCTTCCTTTTTCCTGGGCATATCTCAGATAGTAGTTCTGTTTTGGACTCTTCCTCCCTATTATCTGAAAGGAGAACATTCCTATTTGGTATGATCTGATAAGTTACTTTTTGGTCTGGAGATTCTATACCATTAAACTGGATAAAAAAGGTTTTTTTTTTTTTTTTTGAGCATTCCCAGATTTCAAAATAACCTTCCAAAACAGAGCAAATAGAAACCTTTTACTCTTTGTATTGTGGGGAAACCTGTATTATTGTGGAAACTTGTATTATACAAAGCCTCTTTTTCTCTTATTTTTCCCTTTGAAATATGGGTGATTGTTTTAAGACTCCCAGATCCTTGGGGAAATCTGAGAACTTAAGACACAAAACCTAAGATTGCTTAATGAAATATTGAGGTAGTTTCCCTTTAGAGCTAAGGAGATTTGGATTGGGGCTTCAGTTTGGGGAAGAAAAGTAGGATAAAAGGGAACCATATTATATTGATGGCATGGAGGATTTTTATATACGTTGCATTTTTATTACCACACCTATAAATACCTTAAGTATAAAATGCATCCAAACTCTAAATATATTAATTTTCTCCCATAAGATGATAAACTTAACCTAATGATCTTCCCTGCAGTTTCCTAAGAAGAGATTGTAGGATTGTAGAAGCTATGTCTAGTGAGAAAAGGATAGTGTTGAGAAAAATGCCTTGTGTTTAGAGGACTTTAGAACACTAAGCAATTTTAGGAATAACTACTGATAACATATGGTTAGAATAACTACTTCCTTGTTTTGAAGAATTGTATGAGGCCCAATGATATTGCTCATGAAATCTAGGTTTACTGAATACTTTTATCTCCATAACCTTCC